ATCGAAAGATAATAGACTCGATTAAGAATGAAATGAGCAATGATCAAGATTACGAATTGATAAAGTAGTACTTCTAAAATAAATTTAAGAGGAATAACACAAGAAGGAACGATCGTTGGTTACATAAATGGGAGTTTCGAAATATTAAAAATTAAAAATCTGCCTTTTCTAAACCATCGATCGTAGCACCGATTAATAAAAACCTAAGCTACAAAATAAAGTTTCTCCAAGTCTTTGTGACAGTTGATGCTTCGATTCTCTAGTTTATGTCGAATACATTAAAAAATAGAAAAGATTCTCAAGCAATAGTAGATGCCAATTTGAACCCTCGATCGTATCGAGCGTGAAATATATTAAATGAAAGGCGAAAAGACACGAAGGGAACCGTAATAAAGAAGAAAACAAACAACGAAGATACGAATAAGCATTTTTCTTTCGAAGCATCGATGACGTAGAGAATTTTACGGAAAGTTGAAGAACTCGTGTTGCTTTGAAATGAGCGAGATCCATGCATTGAGGAGTTCGGCTCCAGCAGTCTCCGGAGTCCCCGAAACCAGGAGCAACCAATTCGAAGCACTCTACGGTTTCCAACGGAGTGATGCTAAAGGTCCTCACCCGATTGGATGAAAATAAAAGGTGGACACAACTGCCAATACACTTAAGTTGGCTTCGCTGCTGCTTGCTTCCAGCATCCCTCTAAACCGTGAGGGCGAGAGGAGGACGGAGAAAACGTGGTCAGGATTCAGCGACAATGGGTGGGAAAAAGACGGGGGCGAAATAAAGAGGGAAACGAGGGGGGTTGGAAACAATTCCGTGATAATAAGATAGCAACCAGCTCGTGCGATGTAAACCAGTAGCTAAAAGACTCGATTCGTGGAGGTACGAGTGGAAAAGCCTGAAATGTGTTTTATGGAACGAACAGGGACCAAGGAACCTCTCGGTTTCTGTCTGCTCTTTCTTTCCCCTTCGCGAATTACGACAGCGTTTTGATGCATTCTGGATTTCGAAAGTCCTACAATTTTTCGAACATTCCTTGAAAAAGTATAGTCGTTAAACGTAGGATGATAATTTTTTGTTGGAGAATTCACAAGTAGAGTCTATCCTTCACTTGGATACTTAGATTCTACTTGTTCCAGTGTTTGTAAACTGTCGGGATACTAATAAATTTCAAATGAAGTAACTTGACTTGTCGTGTCAATCGATAGTTTCGAGGAAGAAATACCGTAAAGGTGTAAATGAATTACTTGAAGGATCTCGACTCCCAAGAAAATGAAAAACTATCTTCCATAAATAAAAAAGAGAGCAAGGACGATATATCTTTACGCGCGTCCTGGCTGTAGATTTATTGCGGTCCAGGCACTCAAGAAATTAGGCCGACGTGGTCCGTGGGTCAGCCACCGAATCAATTTGGTCGATGCTTAATTTTCTATGGCGATAAATTTCATTTTTGACACCGATTCTATTTCCCAATGTATACAAACAAGCAAACAACATACTCTAGTGTTTGAAGATGAAAGGATTATAAAGTTTAACGAATCTTCCTGCTGCTTATCTATCTCTGTTCTTAAAGAAGCCTCAAACGATATTGTTATTCACATCGAATGGTTACGAATTATCTACCTACGTGACTAACGATATCAATGAAACGGAAGATCAATTTTGTGAGTCATCTGTAGGATTTAGATAAAGTATACACGATATAAACTCATTGTCAGAATGGCCCTGAAGCATGATAAACCGAGATCGATGGATAGTTACACGTGTAGGCTCCCATTGGGTTCGTGGAGCCATTTTATTTAGCAAATAGAAGGGTCGATACTATTTACAACACTTGAATTTATTTACAAATATGTACGTGTGTTAACAGTTTAATTTTTGATGTTCGTACTGGTGTTCTTATGGAGTTCTTGTGTTATTCTAACTTGGAAAGTCTAATGCCCCGCGATTTTATACAGATTCAAAAGGAGGTGGAAACCTTGTGTATCCAATCAGACCTCTGCTCATTCCTCGTGGGCCAGTTCTCAGATATTCGAAATCCCACCTACTGAGGGTGGTATAGGGTCCCAAAGTATGGTGCTTAACGGTTTGAGAGTACAACAATTTGTTTTGTACCCTAAGGTACTTGCCCAATTGCCAAACAAGTAATTTAACTAATATTCCCTAAATGAGGGCTCCGCTAATAAGTGTTGGAATTCCCAACAACACGTGTGTTTAAATTTGACTATTAATCTCTTCGATCATAACTCGTTGTAGACTGAGTTTCAGGAACCTTAGAATTCGCCTACTTTTGAAGTAGGTATGTACTAGTAATGGGTGGACCGAAAAATTCTCGAAAACTGATTTTCATTTGTAGGTTTCAGAAATAATTTTGTTCGATCGGTTATCGAGCTAGAAAAGTGAGCTTGGAATGATAGGTGGTGTGCATGGAACAAAGAGGAAATAATCCGCCGTGCAGTATTCGAGCCGTTAGCGAAGTTGCAGTTTATTAACGCCTCGTGTATTCGAGAAATTCGCGAGACAGTGTTTCAGAGTGGTGGCGGCAAACGATGCAGACGAGAGGATTAGTATCGACAGCGGTAAGGGCCAGCAAGGAAAGGGTGCATAGTGGCAGTCGTGTTAAGAGCACGGTTGCAAAGAGAGGGATGAAGCAGACGGACGGACTGACGGACGGCGGATCCTCGACAAATGGATTAAGCGCAAATTGCTAAACTCTGTTTAATTTGGCCAAATGAATTTTGTTCCGCCAGCCCTCCCTCGTTTTCCCTGTTCTTCGCTTTTCTCTCTCTCTCTCTCTCTCTTCCCCCGTCACTCTCTGTTCCTTCCTAGGAGAGCTCTGCAAGCCTGACGCGAACTTTCGGACCCGAAACCTTATTTCCCTGCAACTGGATGCACATTAGTATTCCAAGGATTCTTATATTTTTTCGTCGATAGAATTTTAAATAATTCGTTGTCAGACCTTATAATTTGATCGTGTGCTTGGATCATAGCGAATAACTTTGTTAACGATGCACCACGAAGCATTGTAAATGGAAGTATTTGGCAAAACGTGTCCTCTTTTGTAGCTGATTTTGCATGTCCAATTTGAGAGAATTCGATAATTTTATTAAAGTTTAATAACAAAATGGTAAATGTATCTATTCGATTTTAGAGTATCATGAAATCTTTAAACCTGTTCTTCTCAGAAATTTCAGACGTTTGTGCATTTATGGGAAATTTTAATTTTCAGAAAACTAAAGAATTCATTTAATATGCAAAAGTATAAGATACGAATTATTACATTTAGGGATTGAGACAACTCTCTATAAAGTGTTTCTTCTCTAACAGTTTTAAAAAAGATTAATTTGAAATTATCCACATATCGATTGGGTCCGAGATAAGATGTACTATTATTTAGTAAATAATTGAATTGTCCAGTGAATGAAAATGTTACCTGGGAATAATCGACTTCGGTGATCTTGACGGTAGGGAACAAATCCAAATTGAATTGTAAAAACGAGGGACTGAATGCAATTTCGTGATTGAGTAGAGGACAGAGGACATCGGAACACATCAAAGGCGAGAATTCCATATTATCCCATACGTACTGTCAAGGCAACTTCGTAATCTGACGACGCGCAACATTATCCCGTGTTCAGCCGGCTCGTTTGTGCCGTTGAAAATCAGTCCGTGTCCACCTTTGAATACGTGCCTAAATCAAGCTGGCGAGGATTATGCGTTGCGTTTAGAATATGCTGTTTAAGGATTCAACCGCTCCCTTGGTTCGAACTTCTCGGTATTACGATATTATATTTCGAACGAGAAAGTTGTGTTTGGTTCGAAGCAATTAAGTTGTTGTTGGAGGGGACTTTAATTTCGAACGGAATGAAAACATTGGGAACGCGTATAATAACGCGAGCGTTTTCGTGGAACAGGTTGTCTAGTGATTACGAAACAACGGCTAACGAGGGATTAAAACGATTTCCATTGTTTTGTTAAGGCCGGTCGATTATAGCGATCTATATTGTTCTCGAGTTTGAAAAACTAGTTCATTTCATTAATCACGATCGTATTTTCAGAATTAATACGTTCCATATTTCACGAAAATTGTGAGACCACGACTCTTCAGTTTCATTTTTCTTCGCGCGATCGAACGGGTCAATCAAAGTTTTGGTCTTGTTTTTATTAATGAAAGTTTTCTTCAAGCAATAGCAATGGAAATTAATTAGCACGGAGGATTTAGTTTCCACGTGTTACGCGTTTCAATTTCATGCAAATATTTTAATTAGACACACCGTGTTTTAGGTTCGTACAGTTTTGTTTCATTTAAATAAATTGCGCGGCAAACTGCGTGGCCCGTAATCCGCGGGAATCTAAATTTGTATACGGACTTATTCCGAAATTAATGTAAATTCTATTATACGTAAAATAAGTTTGAAACTGTGCCGGTTGAATCTTAATTCCGTAATTCCTTGCAACGCCACATCGGAAAATTTCATTTTACAAGTTGTCGCGGAGGAGTGCTTATTTATGACTGTTTCAATTCGATTCGTTCGTGTGGTACTTGAGTCACTTATATATAGAACAAATTGCACACGAAAATGAGTAAACAATAAAAATGTCGATAACAGAATTAAATAAGCATTTGCAATTTTAAATAAAAAAGGAAGAATCAATCTAAAAAGTAGAAATTAATAATATTAAATCACATTATATGATATTGTACAATAGTGATTAATACGTTGAAAGATAAAAGTGAACAAAATTCGATAACGTCGTAATGCATTGTAAAAAGAATTCAACGACTAGTATTTCATTTCAAAAATCAATTTAATTTAATAATACAATAATAACTAATTGCAATATTGACGAAACACTATTTGTAATTTATTTTAGAGTTATTATACTATGCTGAAGGAGCATACAGATTATTAGTATTGATGAATCGAAAATGGTTTTCACCACTGGTAGAATATCTTGGAAATTTGAAAAATGATTTAGGAAGAAGTAAAAAAATGTGACAAGAAACTAAAATTCAGTTTCACGATGAAGTCTTTATCAAAAATAAACAAAAATAATCTCGTCCAGAAAAAACTGAATTTACACTAAACGAGTTGCGGTTATCATGTACTGATATTAAAAGAGGACTTTGTACCGCGTTACGTCAGTTGTTCGTTAGCATGCGAGCTCGCGTGATGCGAAAATGCATCGGCTTGTTTTCCGTTCTCCCGTCAACTTGAATATTCTCTACACTCGAGAAAGCATATTAAAACAGTGCAATACTCGTTTGTGAATTACACAAGAGAAGGATAAAGTGTAAAATATCCTTCAAGAAACATCGAGTGCAAGTTCGTCCAAAGAAACCTCGCCATGGATCCAACGACGATATTAGTGATCGCGATCGCGATTCTCTTGCTGTATCATTACTCGACCAAACAGCAGAACATCTTCAAGAAGCACGGTCTGCCCTTCAAACGATCAATTCCTCTGCTTGGCAGCTCTTGGTCAGCGATGCTTCACCTCAAGCCATTTGCAACGATGGTTCGTGACATCTACGACATGGCACCCGAGGCGAAATACGTGGGTTTCTATCATCGAATGGCGCCTGTCGTTATGATCCGCGATCCAGAGCTCATAAAATCCGTGGCGATCAAGAACTTCGATCGTTTCCCCGATCATCGAACCTTCGGGGACGGTGACGCCGATCCTTTCTTCAGCAAAAATCTCTTGCTGCTTCGAGGTGACAGATGGAAAGAAGTTCGAGCGTTGTTGACGCCAGCGTTCACGTCCAGCAAAATGAAGTCGATGTTCGTGCTGATGTCCGACTGCGCCGTCAACTATGGACAGTCTCTGGCGGCGCTTCCGGCGGATCAGAGGTCGATCGAGATGAAAGATACATTCACCAGATACACCAACGACGTGTTCGCGAGCTGTGCCTTCGGTATCAACGTGGATTCCCTGGCTGATCGGGACAACAAGTTTTACTTCTATGGAAAGGAGGCTCTGGATATTCATAGCACCGGGATTCTCAAACTCGTTATGTTAATTGTATTTCCAAGACTATCGAGAAAACTCGGAATAAGATTCATAAGGAAGGAGGTGACGGAATTCTTCGAGGATATCGTGGCAGCCAATATCAAGGCTCGCGACGAAACAGGCGTCAGCAGACCAGATCTGATACAATTGATGATGGAAACTAGAGGGAGACTGGAACCAGGCAAGGAACTGACCATTGTGGACATGACCTCCCAAGCGTTTTCGTTCTTCTTCGGTGGTTTCGAGACCACTTCGACCCTGTTGTGTTTCGCTGTTCACGAGCTGGCCGCGAATCCAGAGCTTCAGGAAAGATTGCATAACGAGATCGATCGAGTGTTGGAGGATTCCGATGGCAAAGTTGCTTACGAGGCGATCAACGGGATGAGATTTCTCGACGCTGTGGTGAACGAGACGCTAAGAATGTATCCGGTTATACCTATCACTGACAGACAGTGCACGAAACCGTTCGAATTACCGCCAGCCTTGCCAGGCCTCGAGCCGTTCACCATGAAGGAAGGTTCTCATCTTTGGTTGCCGATCTACGGGATCCAGTACGACTCGAAGTACTTCGATCGACCGGAGACGTTCGATCCTGATCGATTCATGGACAAACGGGCCAACGTGTTGAATTCTGGCGCCTATTTGCCTTTCGGGATGGGACCGAGAATATGCATCGGTTATCGATTCGCGATTCTCGAAACGAAAGTCGCGCTGTTTCACATTCTTGCTCGTTGCGATTTTACCATATCTTCCAAAACTCAGATACCCATAAAACTGGGAAAAGGAGGAGCGTTTCTGAAGGCTGAGAGAGGATTTTGGCTGCAGGTTAGATCGAGAAATAATCCACTTGTGTCTGCAGTTGCTTGAACCAAAATAAATTGATATTTTGTAATTAATAATAATTTTTTAAGTCGCGTTGCTAACAATTTTTTTATCCAAATGTATAGTTTTCCTTATTCACTGTGTTCGATTGCCTTTAACGATTTCTGAGAATCGACTCAAGAGATTTTCCATTAGTTTTCTTGTTAAAGAAGCTGTTGTCACGCTCGTTTTCTTGGTCGATGACTTTAGCGCTTTTCGATACATCCTCGTGTTTACAAACGTTCCCCCACACTGTTGCTATTAGCATGGTACATACACAGACGCTGACTGATGTCACGTTAGGCCGTGGCTGCATTGGAAGCGATTTCGCGCGACTTAGCGATCACAGCTGGAGTCGCGTGAAACGGAGAGTAACAATTACGTGCATACGCCGCGTGTAAACGCAATAAGCCACGTAGGAGGGGACGTGCCACATACGGTACTCCAACCGTGGAGATCATTGACTTGGGTACTTAGGAATTGGGTACTCAGGAATGATGGGTTCGAGTGTGTTGCATATAGCTTGGTTTCTACCAGCACAATTTCATTCTGAAAGAGGCCATTGAAAATTAAACTGTTAACACATGTGTAAATATTTGTAAATAAATTCAAGTATTAGTAAATAATATCGAACCTTCTGTTTGCTAAATAAAACAGCTCCACGAATCTTGTGAGAGCCTGCAAGTGTATTTACAAACTAGAATCGCGATAGTTATACATATTTAAGAAAGAAATTAAAACGATGACGAACGATGAATGTCAGATAAGATTAAACTTATCGATCAGATGCTGAATGCATACTACGCCGAGAGGTAGAGGATACGTTTTCACATGCATGTAAGCCGCGATACGTAACTCCCGGAAAGCGTTCGCATTACAGACAGTCGCTCGACGGACGGCATTCTGACAGCATCGCTGACAAGGTGCGCTCACAACTCGATAGCGACGCACGCGAAAATTAATTTCGAGAGGCCAACAAACGCTATCCAAACTCAGTCTTCGTCGATCCCAATTAAATTCTACTTTAGTCGAACTTCTTCAAATTCACGAGTACGAAAATTGACGAACTCTAATCGAACAATTATCACGCGAAACGGTGGCCAACAGTGGGCATGATCGAGACGTGGTCGATAATTTTGGCGTTACTCGCCGTGGTTCTGGCAACATGGTATTACTTCAAAAGGACCTACAGTTATTTCGATGAACGAGGAATCCCGTACGCGAAAACGATTCCGCTATTTGGGAGCCTTTGGAGAACCGTGTTCCAACGCGCGCCTTTCGCAGACGTGATCCTGGATATTTATAATCACAACCCCGACGCGAAGTACGTCGGTTTCTACGATTTCACGATACCGGTGATCGCCATCCGCGACATCGAGCTGCTGAAGGCCGTCACCCTGAAGTATTTCGATCATTTCCAAGACCATCGAACCTTTGTAACCGACGACGTGGAGCCTCTGTTCAGCAAGAATCTGTTCACGCTTCGCGGCGACAGATGGAAGGAAATAAGAATGTTGTTGAGCCCGGCGTTCACGTCCAGCAAGATGAAGTCCATGTTCAAATTGATGTTCGAGTGCGCGGATCGGTACGGTAACTACCTGGCCGCGTTACCGGAAGGCAAGCAAACTTTGGAGCTGAAGGACATGTTCACCAGGTACACGAACGACGTGATTGCCACGTGTGCTTTCGGTGTAAACGTGGACTCGATGGCAGACCGAAACAACACGTTCTACGTGTATGGTAGAGAGTCGACGAGCTTCGGTAGGCTGCAGTCGATTAAATTCTTCGTGATCCGGAGCGTCCCTAGCATTGCAAAGTTGCTGGGTCTGAAAATCGTACCTCAGAGGGTGGCTGACTTCTTCAGAGACATGGTGGCCTCCACTATAAAGTACAGGGACGAGAATAACGTTGTTCGACCGGACATGATTCAGTTGATGATGGAGACCAGAGGGAAACTAGGCCCTGGAAAGGAACTGACGATCGACGATATGACCGCCCAAGCGTTCATTTTCTTCTTTGGCGGTTTCGAGAGCACCTCGACGCTGATGTGTTTCGCTGCTTACGAGGTGGGCGTGAACCCCGATGTCCAGAAGAGGCTGCAGGAGGAGATCGACGAGGTTTTGGAGAACAGCAAGGGCGACGTGACCTACGACGCGATCAACGACATGAAGTATCTCGATGCTATCATTTACGAGGCTCTGAGGATGTACCCGGTGGTTGTAGCCACGGACAGAATGTGCACGAAATCCTTCGAACTGCCGCCAGCCCTGCCAGGATTAAAGCCGTACGTTGTGCAGAAGGATGCGTACCTTTGGATACCGATCTACGGGATCCAGTACGATCCTGTCTACTACGAGGAGCCGAGGAAGTTCAATCCGGATCGGTTCCTTCCCGATACGAAGGGGATCTTGAATTCTGGTTCATTCTTGAGCTTCGGGGTGGGACCTAGGATGTGTATCGGTAATAGGTTCGCTCTTCTGGAGACCAAGGTCTTGCTTTTCCACGTTTTTGCACGTTGTTCCCTGAAACCTTGCGCTAAGACAGCCATACCGATGGTTCTGAGTAAAAAGGGATTCCAAATGACGTCGCAGAATGGATTCTGGTTCGACATTGAGCCGAGGAAAAACGCGACGCACGTTTACGTTAATCCCACGTGCAACGGTAGAGTCGGCCATTAAAAATTTACTTTTTTGTATTTTTATGTTTGTACGAACTTACGTTTAGATAAGAAGCGTAGAAGTCGGAGTAAGTAGATTTTGATCGTCGGTCGTATGGTTGATAAGGGGCAATTTAGTTGATTAAAGCTGGAGCACAAACAGAGATAACATTCTATCAAGCAGTAATCGTCAATTGTATATGAATTGTTTTTGTTTAATGAATATTAACGGCGCGTAATAATCTTCAATTTTTAGTGGCATATATAACATGCTCGAAAGTATACATACTTTTTAAAAGTTTTTTGTTTGCAAGGAAAATAATATTGCATATATTTTTATTTTTTTTACGATAATGGATAATTTTAATAATGCTTGATGTAAATTAAGAGATGTGATTACACTGTTTTGTTAAATAAAAGTAAATGTTTGTTCTACTGAACGTATAATCGAATATTTTTCAGCGGTTGGGTATTTTTCTTATTTTGAAAATTTATTCCTACTTTGATGCAATCTTTCCCAATTGATTTCGTAGAAAAATATCGTACGTAAACTTGTGAATTTTCCCCGAAAATTCAGCATGTTAAAGCTTGTACAAAGTATAAATGTTTAGGTACTGCGTAGTACAAGAAGCTATCTTTTATGGCAAAATACAGAGCTGTTCGTATACATTGAAAGTGATGAATCATTCCAACATTTGTTATTTTATCTCCGTCATCTCACCTACGTTGTTTTGACGTTACTTAAATTGCATAATGTGAGTGTGAATAATGAGCCTGAATATGTAAACCGTGGAAAGAAATAGAATAGTCTCTTATAAAGTAATCTATCAGCCACTATATGTGGTAGGAAGTAAATGAGTAATATTTACAATCAGTTTAGTAGTGATATAACTTTCCGTAAGGTAAACAGAAATATTGATTCAGTCGAACGTTGATTAAGCAACTAACTCTACTGATACATAAATTAATCAATCGAACAACATTCTGGAAATTCAGCGAATAATTGTATGTACATACTAACATTCTCTAATTACGGAGTTATGTCAGTTTTGCATCTAGATAAGATTTTTTGCGGACTAGAACAAGGTAGGTGACGAAATGTTTTAATTCTAATTCGCGTGAAATTTAGGAACAAAAAAAGTTTCTTCGATGTCTGAAACGATAAATAGTACTTTACGAAGTACTTGCATACACTCTAAACTTGTTATTTAAATCACTTGTGATTTATTAAATCATACCATAAATCTTTGTGCAGTTGTGTTTAGTAGGTTGCATGATGTATACAAATTATCTTGTTAAGATGGACTTGTTTTTAGCATGAATATGAATGAAAAATGGGAAATAAAAATCAACATGTAACAGACAACCGAATGTTTACTGAAGCATTAATGCAAAATGATAAAAACTATTATTCAAAACAATAATATGTTTTGAAACATTCTTTTGCAATTATAGCTGATCTTTTTTAATATAGTGGATAGTAATAACGCGTTATATAACGTTTCTTCTTATCTTTTCTTCACAGTCAACGCACTATTTTAAACGTGTATTACAGCTACGAATACTTTTATTTCTTTTTAATGAGTGCATTGAACTGTGCTGTCCGATGCATAATGTTGCTTTGCAAGTTCTCTTTTTAAATTGAAATTATTCTGCATATCTATGAGAAGCTATATTCTTGTTTTGCGGCATCTCAGATACGTCGCAATACTTTCGACATTATTTTAATTAAAAATAATGATTATTAAAATAAAACAGTATTTGCATAAATATATCGATTATATTTATACCCTAAAATACATATATACGCGTATGCTTTCCTGTAAAAAAATTTTTGGAAACTTGTCTTGATCGTAATACATCTTTATAGATCGAAAAGTAAATATTTAGCATTTTCCCAAAATTGACTGTAATAATTGATTAAATGACTACAAATCAAATGATTTAAAATGTCATTAGCGGATAGTAAATTTCTATTCTAACCATTTTTTCTACACACATATATGGTGTAATTGATTATAGTTATAATTATCAAATGAATCGTATCGTAAACTCAAAAAAAAAAAACGTTTTATAAAGAATGAATGCTTTCTCAACGAGAATAAGAATAATCAGATAAGATTAAGTACGTACTCGTGGTATAGTATAAAATGCGCAGTATACTGAGAGGTACATACAAATGACATTTTTACAGAGGCGTGAGTCATGATACGAGCTCCTCTGATACGTTAGTAAAATGCTAGCAGTCGTTCGACAGACAGCATTCTAGCAGCTTCGTTAATAAAGTGTGTCCACACGAATATAGTGAGTTCCAAACGGTATCATTAATTTCCAAAATACGACCTAAATATAGAGGTGTGACTACTGACTATTGTTCATGATATTTTGAACAGTGTATTTCTTGAAACATTCATTGTATTAATTACAAAGCATTGAAAATATATCTGCCTTAAAACTACTTTTAATGATATCGAAGTAACGAAATATCCATAAAATTTCGATACATGGATATCAATACACTATCAATAATCACATCTCGACATATCGATATTACGTTTCACTAACGGCAATTAAATTTCACAACGTGTAAAACTACTCCAGATTTACGAATACGTTTCCAAAAATATTTACAGATTATTGGACGCCCGCGGGATTAAAAAAAAGTTACACAGACAAGCAATACACGCGATTCGATAAAACGACGCGTGCAATACAATGGAACGATTATTACGCGAAACGGTGATTTACAATTCTTAAATTACAACGAACACAACGATCGAGATGTGGGCAACGATCCTAGCGTTGTTACTCGTGGTTCTGTCAATATGGTATTACCTCACAAGGCAGTACAATTACTTCGAGAAACGGGGAATCCCGTATCCAAAACAGTTAACACAGATCAGGAATATGTGGGACGCTATCGTTAAACAGAAACCAGTCACTGACTTGGTCGAGGAAATCTATAATGTCCATCACGAGGCAATCTACGTAGGTTTCTACGATTTCATGAGACCGGTGATCACCATTCGCGACATAGAACTGGTGAAGTCTATCACCGTGAAGTATTTCGAGCATTTCCAAGACCATCAAGGGTTCCAAGATCTCCAAGACGAGCCTCTGTTCAGCAAGAATCTGTTCGGCCTTTGCGGGGACAGATGGAGAGAAATACGAACGTTGTTGAGCCCAGCGTTCACGTCCAGCAAGATGAAGTCCATGTTCAAGCTGATGCTCGAGTGCGCCGATCAGTACGGGAACTTTATGGCCACGTTACCGGAAGACAAACGAACCTTGGAACTGAAGGACACGTTCACCAGGTACACGAACGACGTGATCGCCACCTGTGCTTTCGGCGTGAGCGTGAACTCGATAACAGATCGGAACAACAAGTTCTACGAGTACGGTAGAGAGTCAACGAATTTTGGTAGGCTCGCGATGCTCAAAATTGCAATGTTCAGGTGTGTACCTTTCCTCGTGAAGATGTTCGGCATAAAGCTCGTGTCTCGGAGGGTGGAAGACTTCTTCAAAGACCTGGTGGAGTCCACCATAAAGTACAGGGACGACAATAACGTTGTTCGACCGGACATGATACAGCTGATGATGGAGACCAGAGGAAAACTAGGCCCGGGAAAGGAACTGACGATCGACGATATGACCGCCCAAGCGTTCACCTTCTTCTTTGGCGGTTTCGAGAGCACCTCGGCGTTGATGTGTTTCGCTGCTTACGAGGTGGGCGTGAACCCCGACGTCCAAAAGAGGCTGCAGGAAGAGATCGACCAAGTTTTGGAGAACTGCAAGGGCGAGGTGACCTACGACGCGATCAACGGCCTAAAGTATCTCGATGCTGTCATTTACGAGGCTCTCAGAATTTACCCGGTCATTGTTGTCGCGGACAGGCGTTGCACGAAAGCCTTCGAACTGCCGCCAGCCTTGCCAGGATTAAAGCCATATGTTATACAGAAAGATGAGTACCTTTGGATACCGATCTACGGAATCCAGCACGATCCTGCTTACTTCAAGGAGCCAAAAAAATTCAATCCGGATCGGTTTCTTCCCGACGCGAAGGTGGTCTTAAATTCTGGTACATTCTTGAGCTTTGGGATGGGACCAAGGATGTGTATTGGTAATAGGTTCGCTCTTCTCGAGACGAAGGTCTTGCTCTTCAACATTTTCGCTCGTTGTAATTTAAAACCTTGCTCTAAAACCTGCATACCAATGAAGTTGATGCAAAAAGGGTTCGCGTTGACGTCCAAGGAAGGGTTTTGGTTCGATATTGAGCCGAGAAAAGACGCGAAGCTTGTTGGGTCCGTGTGCAATAGTAGCGCTAGCTGTTAGAAATTTATAATTTATATTGTTATGTGTGCACGTGTTTGATTATTATTTTTTGATATATTTTATTGTATATAATTTCCTTATTTCGTGGTAGCAGTTAGTTCAATCATTTTTATTTTAAACATTGTACCAGAATAGCTCTACGAATAAATTTGAAGTACATGTTTTATTTCTATAATTTGTGTTGTGGACAAGAACACAATTATTTGTGTTCGAAACGATTATTTCTATTATGTGTGAATCCTAATATGCTCGTTACGTTCCTAATAATCTGTCGTGTCAGTTTTATGTCTGAAAATCTCCGTAGACGTCCTGCGAATTATTTCATATTTTATATCGTACAATACAAGAATTAAAAATTTGATATATCTTTCAAATACGCGTTAATTAGAATTTTAATAGTAGTGAGGATATCATACGTTTTCCGGTTGGAAATTAAATTTTACGGTTAGCAAAAATCTATAAAGCTTTATCAGGCTCTTTAATCATTCGCCTCATGCATTTTTCAATGTTACGAATTATTTTAATTAATTCTTTAATTCAAAAGTGTATGTTCAATAATTGAATAGTACATCAAAGGAAATATTTTAGTAAGTATATAGCGTCGAAGTTAATATTCTTTTGTAATACTATAGATACAATAAACTGTTTATTCTCATTGCTATCTAAAACATTAATAAATAATTCTCTGCACTTCAAGCAGAGTTTTGTTGACGTACTGGACGACAATAACGTGTTTAATCATGTTTGTGTATCTTTTCCACACAGTCAGCATGACTGTTGGAAATATTTATTATGAGAATTACAAATATTTTTGTTTTTAGAAAGAAGACATTTCGTTAAACGTATGGGTCTACACTGCGCGACGCAGAATGTTATTTTTCGAACTTTATTTTTAACTTCAACTAGTTATTTTGCATGACTGCGGAGCGCGGCTCGACGTCAGAAATGACGTCATAGATAAATATTTACAAATACGCAACTAATTTTAGTCGTATAGTTACTGGCCAACTTTTTGTACGATCTTTTCTTACGATTACATTTATTCATTGTTGTTTTATTTGCAATCGGGCAATTTATTCTCAGAAACTCGTTCAATGTAAACCCAATACTTACAATGTCAAAAAGTTTCATTTTTTATGTATTGTCTTAGACATTCTGACACGTCGTTTTAATATTATTTTAATTAAAGATAATAACTATTTAAACGAAACAGTATTTTTTTAAATATATTTACTATATTTACAGTGTATGTTATTAATTGTTTTTTTATTAGAGGAGACAAAGAAAGCTATTGTTTATCCTTTTTGTGTAAAATATAATTTTCTCGAAAATTGTAGACGAATATACGAATTGCTGACGTAATTCGATCAGATGTGGTACTTATACGCGATCATGATCGTTTACTTGTCAGTTCATTTAGTTTTTGGTCACGTTGCAAGAGATTTCCTGGGAATTGGCGATTGTTATTGTCGGTCACGTGAAGTCGCCTTACGGCAGATAGCGTTTGTTATAGCAATTTATGTCGGTCGTAGGAGTCGTGCGTAGGTCACTACCACTCATGCAAATATATAATTCCACGTGACGGTAGTGTGATAGCAATTATACTCGAATTATTTTCCTCTTGATTCTCTTGAACATTACGTTCGTTTGAAACAACTTTGAGTCTTCATCATTTTTAAGCGTTTATTATTAATTGTAATTTGATTCTTCAATAGACAGATTTGTTTACTACATATCTACGAAATTATAGTAAATATACAAAAATGATTGCAATACAAATTTAATGGCTCTTAAACAAAAATTTAAACCTTCGGATTTAACCACTTCGTGTTTCAGGATTCCATTTTTATTTCTGCTCGCGAGTTCCACTAACCAGTTAAGTTCGTATCTATAGCGTCAAAACATCTTTTATAATTTACAGCTCTAAAGGAAAATCAAACAAAACTCTTATTTTCGTTTCATTCGAACAGGAAATTTCCACTGCAAACGAAACTTTCATCGACCACTTAACCACGGTGCTCAAGTTAACTCGAGCAACAGAATCGCCAAATAAACAAGTAGAAGCGCGTTTAGTAACTAGAATAATAAGAGTCGAATTAACTGGAGAATATACGATCGCTTCAGTATTCAAGTTGACGTTTAATAACCGTAACAAGAATGAATCAAAATCAGATTCCAACGAAGATTTAATCGATTCTTAAAATGATAATAAAATAAATAGCTTCCACTCATATTCGTATACTATAATGGTGATTCGCTATAAACGAAAAAAGCCATTGTGACAAAGTTTGCCAACGATCGTGCCACGTTGAGAACACCGGTTCTCGTCCGATCACCGAAGTTAAGCAACGTTGGGCGCGGTTAGTACCAAGATTGGTGCACCGCGTATTGTTGGCATTATTATTGCACATTACATACTTATCAATCGGTTTTGTAATTGGGAATTATTAGTTTCTTAATATTAAAAAACACTACTTTATAAATAGAAGAAACGCAGTTGTGATAAGTAACATTTGGTAAAAATAAACAGAAAGAATTCATAAGACAGTTTCTTTTCGTTCATAGCGAATCACCAATACAGTGTACGAGTACGAGCGTAACTGTATAGGTTTTTAAATGGTGGTTATCGGATCCAACTTTTGTTCCTTAATCGCGAATAAAACTAGACTGGCGACTGTCAAAGTAAAAATCGAAAAATCGTTCCCCTCCCGAGGTCGTTTAACGCAAACCGCGGCCGCGGGCGACGTGAGAACGAAAGATAAAAGAAAACAGAAAAAGAATTACCATCCCACCAGTCCCGACAGCAGTAATGGACGCCTGTTACGTGTCCATTTCAATTATGATCTCTTGAATGGATCGACCTTCTCTGCATGGACTGCACGTAACATGGAGTCGCGCGATGTGTAACAGCCGTATAATGTATTCCGCTACGTGATCGGCCGGTATCAAATACACGGGACGGCCTTGTGAATGTTGCTTTAATGAGCGTCACGTTCGAATGGCGCCGCGAATTGGTCCGTCGGCGATTCGGTTTTCGTTAAATAACGCACGACGCGATTGCTTAAACAATGCACTTTGATGAAATTGACCCAATTCTGTCGCGGCTCGAGGCGTCGCGACGCAACCCCCAAGACGACGAATTCCACTAATCTCTTCGACCTCTAGAAAACAACAAAAAATAGTGCCCTCCTCGATGCTCGCTACGGTCACTTATTTCTGATTACATGATGGAACAATTGGAAGCACGTTATGCAACCTCCGCAGTCGCGACTTCCTGTTATTTTCTTGCTTCGAGATACACGATGATTCACTCTCTGGCACCGATGGGGGACGCACGAAGGGTTCGAGCGTGAGTTAGCGATCGAAGGAAGATCACGAAGAGCGGGTTTTGGTCAGAATTAACGAACTGAAGATCGCGAGGGTGGATTCTTGCAGTGTATTGTCTTGTCGTGTTTGCGGAAGGAGGTGCAAAGTAAGGGCCATAAGGGAAAACGAATCTTATCCTCCGTTCCCATTCCTTTTCCGAACAAAATTTCATACGGCGTATTAGGGACGATTTTATCACGCATTCTGTTGACGAGATTAAACATGCCAGCATTTATAACAAAGATTATTTATGTCATTTATGTGTTGATACGTTTTATCAGTATTGTCGTACCTCACTGTATACCGACGTAATAAACAAAGGCTTTGCAACAAACGCAATCTTGAGTGTCTTTAGAAAATAATCTTTACACAATTATCATCGATAATCTTCTACGCAAGCATAACAGAGTGTAATCTAGAAATGTCTTGAGAAATGATTGTCAACACTTCAGAACCCTGTGTTACTATTATGCAATTTTATAAATGCGAACAATAATATGTTTTTATTATTTTGCCCTGTGCTAGCTGTTTCAGAAATTAATTGCGTAAAATTATTTGTACCCTATATGTGGAAAAATTGTAAATTGTAAATATTTCTTGCATTGAAGATTATTTAGTTTTTTTTTCAATAACATTTTTCAATAACGAGTATGTAGAGGAAACGTTATTAATTGAAACCTTCGTCGTATGCTCACAGAAGGTCAGTTGTAGGGTTCATCACACTTTAATAAGAACAAATATTAGAAAATAATCTAATCACACGGGACGACTAATTAATGCTGATACTGTATCTTTTGTCACGCGTACGCGTAGTAATGAAACACAATAAACGGTACAAAACGTTGAGTCATTATTAAAAGCGTATTAATATAATGTTTCGTGATAACAACTAGCACGCGCCGTATTTATCATGCGTTTGGGCGTTAAAAATATTTTGATAAAAGGTTTATCTCTGTTAAGCTCAAATTATTGACAATGAATAATAATTATCTTTAACGAGATCAAAAATTCAACATTGTGAATAGAGTATAAATTTATTGTAATATATTAGTTGAACGGGTCGAATTCGAAAATTGATATTGCAATTATTATTTAGGAACAATAACTTGTAAAAGTACGATTAATACAATAAAGTTATATCAAGGAGAAGAGAATCGATTCTCGACAAATGTTGAGAAATTATATAAAAATTTCTCTCTTCTTAACCAGCTTGTTAAAATCACAATTTACGATATGTTTTATTAAAAAGAGTTTTTTTTTAATATTAGGAACGTTGAGATGCGTTGGATTTATTATTTTACTACTGAGATATCGTATTAAATATGTATTTTATAAACGAACACATGTATTTTACTTACATCGATAATATCACTTAATACTGCATACTAAAACAATGTTGTTTTTAAGTAATAGTTATTTGTTTTTAAATAACATTTACAGTCGAATCACCTGCTGCAGTTATTAGCGACTATGTAAATATTAACAGTGACTTGATATGTTTTTTATGTACATACATAAGAATTTTAATCTGCAACGTTTGTTTCGATAAAGTAACTATAAGTTACTATGATTGATACTATTCAACTGCTTCTAAACAGTGTTAGATATCTTATGAACGACCTTGCTAATTCTTTAAACGCCACCGTCGTAGCATCGTATGAGGTATAATATTAATTCGAAATTAATGAAAATTTCTTATCAGAGATTAAGGAGGTATTTGTTTTGTTGATATCTTCTGGTGATAAATCTGATCAAAGTTAAACGCAAATAAGAGTATATTATTTCTAGAGTCGCTTCTGTTTAACATCTAATTATGATATTATTTCGAGAAGATAACAACAAGGAGCAGTTATCTTCTAGATCCCCAATAAGGAATTTTCATTGTGCTGATTCATTTTAGTTTATTATTTGGATAAAAGCGTCGTCAAAGACGTTTTTACGTAGAAAACAATTCACAAAGTACACAAACACCTACAAGAGACTGTTTGAATCAGAATTACTCGCAGAACGCTATGAGACACGTGTACAGAATAATTCACAGAATCGTATCGAATGTGAAGTGTGAAATCTATCCTATCAGAGAAATATTTACAATAAATTGTAGGCTATAAAAATCGATTGTCAATATTTAACCAGTCATCTGTACACGACGATTGTATCCGTCATGCGTGAACTTGATTGCGAAAACTAAAATACGCAGCTGACTGGTTAATTATCTGTTCGATCATCAGTTCGTTGCTTTGCACGTGCCATTGGCCACTGTAGCGTGAACCAAGAGGGGAGGATTTTTTCTAGGCTCGATTTTCACCCAAAATCCATTCTTAGCCGTGACGACCATCACGCCTTTCGCGAGTTCCAGCGGTACAGATGTTTTCGAGCAAGCCTTAACATCGCAACGAGCCAAAAGATGGCAAAGCAAGACCTTCATCTCTACCAACGCGAACCTATTACCGATGCACATTCTCTGCCCTACACCAAAGGGCAGATACGTGCCAGAAGCCATGATCCTTTTACCATCGACCAGGAACCGTTCTGGATCGAACTTGTGAGGATCCTCGTAGTAGTTAGGGTCAAGGTGAATCGCGTGAACCGGGATCCAGATGTTCGAACCCGCCTTTACGGTGAACGGTTTGCCTCCTGGTAACGCTGGCGGTAGTTCGAAGTCGTTCCCGCTCATTCTGTCCAACATAGCTCCTATCGGGTGTATCCTCATCGTTTCGTTGATAACCGCGTCCAGATATTCCATTCCCATCACGGCGTCGTAGCTCAGCTGGCCTTGCGTCCTCTCGAGAGTTTCGTCGATCTCGTTTTGCAATCTTTCGTAAACGTCGGGATTCGTCGCTAAATGATAAATCGCGAAAGACAGCTGCGAGGCTACGGTGTCGGAACCACCGAAGAAGAACGCGAACGCGTGCGTGGTTATATCCTCTATGCTGAACCCTTTGCCATACTGTTTCTTGTTTCTCGTTTCCATCAGTAATTGGAGCATGTCCGGTTTGTAAATGCCATTTTCGTCTCTGTGTTTCACCGCGGTCGATATCAGATTCTCGAAAAACGTCGAGATACTCTTCGACATCACGCTGATACCGAGCATCCTCGACAGTCCGGACATATTTCTGGCCATCAGTATCTTTATGGATTGTATCAATCCGGCGAAGTTCAAGACCTTTCGCGACTTCACGTAGATCGGATTTTTCGGATCGTTTATCGAGTCTACCTCGATCCCGAACACGCAGCTGGCGATAACGTCAGTGGTGTACCTGGTGAACACGCTCTTCACCTCCAGCACCCGTTCCTTTTCCGGCAGGTTCGACAAGAATTTCGCGAAATACACGGCGCGATCCGACATCAGCGCGAACATGGTTTTTATCTTGCTGGACGTGAACGCGGGGGACAGCATGTTTCTGTCGTCCCTCCATTTCTCACCGGTCAAACAGAACAGCATACCTGCAAGGATCTTGTCCATCTCTTTGTCGATGAAAGGACGATGATCGTGAAAGTTGTCGAAATGCTTGACGCACACAGATTTTATCAGATCGATGTCGCGGATTATAACTATCGGAGTGTTGAATTCGTAGAAACCGACGTATTTGGCGTCTGGGTTAAGATTGTACAGCTTTCCGATCACATCCGACAGACTAGTTGTCCTGAAGACCATACCTCCCATGTTCCCCACTATCGGATAAGGCTCGATGGAAGGAACTCCGTGTTTCTTAAAACAGTTCCGATTTCTGGCATAGTAGTAATATACAGCGAGTACAGCCAGTGCCGATAGGATAATTGGTAGGTACTCCATTCTGAACTCGAAGCACCTTGAGAGATTTGTTTCGAACGACGCTGCTTCTATGAGCGAGATAAACTGACTGAGCTCCTCGTGTAGGTAATACACTCTTTATACGATATGTGCAACAGGGTATATGAAACTACGATGCGTTTGATTCAGAGGTGCGGGCTGCACGCGAGAGAAATCCCGGGGAATTTATGTTCCTTTGGTCGCGTAACAATCTTTCCTCGTAGAATTGAATATTCGAATCGAAACTCGATAGCATTATCTACCCTGGAGCCTCGGGCTTAGTAAACCAGGGCTAATGGAATAAATCCCATTTGTTTTATAACGCTCGACGGTATACAAGTTTTCAAAAACGGAAGTATTAATATTCTATACTTTTGGGACGAATGATTCTAATTTATTCTTCTTGATAATCTCTGAAGATTCCGTGTTTTTTGTTAATTCGATTCATTTCTTTTATCATTTTTTTAAATTAAAAACAGCAAGCAGAAAAATGTATATAGTAATATATTACATTATACAGAGTGTACATTGTTAAATTTTTATTTTCATTCGATTATTAAATGTGAAGAATTCTCAATTTTTTTATTCGATTATTAAAATTTTAGAATCATTCGTATGTCATTAATTTTATGCGTTACGCTAGCGAGGAATTTAATAGACTAAATGAGACCTGACTAAAAGATTTCGCGTTGGGAGGGAAAATACGTGCATTTTCGTTGAACCGTAAAAGCTTTTCGGAAAGCAGCGAACAACTTGCCGTCTCTCGACCAAAGAATTCTATGAAAATACTACCAATTTCAGTTTCATTAGCTACAGAATTCTGTAAAATCTTGTCCCTTTGGAATTCCCTTTTTAAGGCGGAAATAGTTCTCCAGATGGGAACACAGCTTGCAACAATGAGATTAAAATTACGAGGGAAATAGAAATTGGACTTGATTTATGATCTATATCCAATCGTGGGAAGCACAAAACGTGTTTCTTGAAGTCAAGTTCCACAATCACGAGGCGACTCGTTATCGAGTCTTATAATATTACAATTAACACATTTTTATATTCACGAGGTATTATACATTGTGCGAACAAATTTAAACAAAATTTAACAGTATACGATGGCAAATTATTTGAAATTAAATTGTACGTTAAGGGGTTAAGAAAAGAATAATCGTTTACTCGGACATTATCAATTTGGTTTAACCATCGTGTCTTCCTATCGAATTGTTTGAACTGTGGACGATGTGTGTCGTATCAGCCCCATCGCTAGCAGATTTTGGATTTAAATTTGCCCCGTCCGGTAATCGCAGGGACGTCTCTTTCCTCTCTTTTCCGTCGTATCGATTGTTTCAACAGCCGATACAATGACTCCCATTGAAACGATCCTCGCGTTATTTTTTTTTTTTTTTCTCCTCTCCTCTGGCCGGTGAAATTAGCCCGCAGTCGATTGCCGCCATAGTCCCGCGGGTTATTTGGATGTCTCTCTTAAACGGCGCAGAACGTCGCCTCAGATTCAGGATATTGCGAACGATGGGATCAACGTACGGAAACAAAGCCAGGCACTTAGCGGCAAATTAGCGATGGTTTGGGGCGCCACTGTCGCTCTTCATTACACCGACACCCTTGCACGCCCACCGCCCGACATCCCCCTACCCTCTTCTGGCTAACCCTCTTAATATCCTGCAGACAATGCAGCCGCCTATCCTCCTGTCTACATCGACGAATTAAATCGCCGCTATGACGAAAAATCTCCTCGAACCCTCTGTAATCACTTAATTATTTTCCCGACAAGTTTTCACCCCTGCTCCCCCTTACCTTTTTTTCTGGGGAATCATGTTACCATCCTACGGACCGTAGAGTACGATTTTAAATCGATCGTTGCCTCGTTATTTGTGCCTGGCTTTGCGTGTAGAGATAAGGGATGATGAAAGATAATTTCAAATTCAGTAGGATCTGTGATATCTTTGGCGATGAAAAATGTAACCGGTTGGGTATGCACGATCTCTGTTAGCAGCTTAACGTACAGTGATGTGACATTCTCGTCCACGCCTAACCGTCGACAATATTCAGAAACGCGTACGTCACATCCGTCGCCATTATCAAATAGTAGAAATAGTTTAGACGTCACGTTATATCGAAGCATTTATTTCGATTCTCGTGAAAGTGTGCACTTTGCTACGCCAATGAAAATATCTGTAATACGTTCCTTGGATTTATACTATTTCCAGGTTTCGTTAAACACGATTTCGTCGTTTTGATATAGCAGAAAACAAATTAACTGCATATCAGTGTCAACATTGTGAGTGTTGGTTTTATTAATTTGACGAGTGAGTTTTGTCTAGAATATTAATATCGTTTGATGATGAAAGAGAGCCCGGTACAGAAGAGACGTACACAGAGCGAGAGTACTAATTGTAAGTGAGAGAAGTGAGAGAGAGATATATATATATCGTTTGTCTAAATCCTAAAGTGAAATTTCGTCCCATTTATCCATTTTATCGCTCGAATCTGTCGACGACTGGCGGAGGACAAAACATTATATATCGACGAAACAAAATGTCGTCGTACGAGTGGGGGGTGGAAGAAGCGGTTTCGCTTGACGCTAGCCGACAATCACCTTTACATTTTACATCGACATCGTCACGATTTATTTCCAATTTCCGAGCTAGCGGGGCGGCTGCACAGACATGGCTTTCCTGTTTCGGAAATTGAAGGAAACCGTAGAATAAGGGGCCGAGGTAGGAGAAGCACGGCGGCTTCGTAGCAGGAACGAAGGTATCAGGTACCGAAAGTGGGATGAAGGGCGCCAAGGGTGGAAGAAAGTAGGGAAAGGCTCGTGTAACAGACTCCATTGTTAGAGCTTATTCAGAATCTGCCAATAGCCTGGGATTCAATTTAACTGGCGAACCATGAACACCATTTAATATACAGATGGCGGGAAAGACGTCGAGGTGCACCTTGGCGTTTCGAGAGTCAGACGAGGACGTGGAAAACGTCGACTGCCGTGGAATATTTTCGTGAAAATTCGATATTGTTTAAACGATGCTTCTTTTCTCACCAAACTGATTCAATTGTTCGTTGATTACTGTAGAAACACTGCGAGGGTTTCGAGTCGAGCGTCTTTCAAGGGGATTTTGATAATTAACAAACAGTCTGCATTGATCTCGTGCAGAAACACGTTTTAAAAAAAAACTAAAGAAATCGATAGCAAAAGGATAATATTATACAGAGATTGTAACGTTCTTCTACTGTATTGGATATATAGTGTTTCGTATTTATTAATTATAGGAAGAATGTGAGTTAACTTTGCTTGAAAATGTTTTTTTGTTTTGTCAGTAAATGTCAGTATTTGCAATAATTCAATAATCATAAATATTTGATTTCTTATTCACAGAGTTATTACACATTCGTATCAGAATATAACGCCTCTGTAAAATTGTGAAGATTTACCAAATTATTATTTTTGTTTGTTCAAACTTATTCCTCGCAACGATTAAATTTGGTTGCTTGTGTAATTGATGGCCAATGCACGAGGAATGTAACATTTTGCGGAAGGTTTGCTTTCGATTGTTATTCACGGTCTTCCATTCGATTGGAACGAACGTAGTGTGTCTGTGTGGGTATCACGTGATCGCGCAATTATAAAGACCTCCGATGCGTTTGATTTTATGCGAAAAATTAAACGTCATACGACTCGAGAGGCTGCATCTCTAAATGGAGAAGGAATACTGTATTCTGAATAATTTGTACGTGTCTGTGCATTGTATCGATAAGTAATGAATGCCGAATAGGCGTAATTTATTCAATTGTATGTCTCTCAGACGAAACAGAAATAAGCCGCGGGATCATCAATGATCGAGGGAAATACACCTCTTGAAAATTAATCGTTCGTTAAAATTCAACGACATTGCGTAACATTTCTAACCGTCCTCCGTCATCGTTACGCTATTATCTCGATTCGATATTATTTCGCGAATAAAATTGAATTTCAAAACCGTCGACACCTCAAATCGAGCAAGATTGAAGTTTGGATAGAAACAAATTATTTACAATTCGAATTTCATTCGTTAACAAAAATCGAAATGTTTATATTTGTAATTGTACATCTTCGTGAAAGTATTAACAAAGGATCGTCGAGGATTTTCCAATGAAAATGACCTCGTTCTGATTGTTTTTAATTATACGTTGTTCGAACCGCTTCTGACAACATCTGACCAATCGCGTATAGTTAAAAATGGTTCGAATGAAGTTCTGTTTGCACTCATTTTCGTCGGATAATTTCACCAATCCATTAGTCAATATTCTCATAAAGATGTATCGGAATGTGATATCATGAATATGTCGAAGAGATCAATTTTTGAAAGAGAAACGTCAGCTTCTTCAAATTTAAGTTTTTAAAATCAGAGCTATTTATATCCGGATGTTTAATTAATTGAACAGTTGTTCAAGTTTTGATAATCGATCGCCATTACGCGTTTATCACGAAGAATTATCTAAATGTGAATTAATCGATTCGTTACAAGTGTCGCGAATGAATTTCGATGGTTTAGGTTTGCAAATATGCCGCGCTTTTATCGTAAATTAATGCTGACAGCTGACACAGGCCATTGAATGATGCATGCGAATTTGATTTGTCACAAAATTTTCTGTATAAATTTATGTTTACGTTGTTCCTTATTATTATAATTGAACATCTTTATAAAATAATTTGCACAAACGCGAGATACAGACAGAAATAATTCTCAATCTTATCTGAAAGTTGTAGTTGTACTTACAAGTTGTTAGTTGCAGGGCTAAGATTTACTATTCCTTCTAGGATGCTTCTTTCCTTCTGCAATGCATACAAAATTGTCACTTATGTATTGAACGTTAATGATATTATTTTTGCAATGTGTATGCATTTAATATCCATTTAAATTTTGTCGTATATAAATTTGTTGACGACTGTGATATTAAGGATCTATTGATTTACGAATTGCAGTATTCTGGATGTAGATATATTTTTTGTTAATGAGTACAGCTCCTTTAATTAAATTAAAAATATTGGGACATAAATATGGTAGTTTGGGGTAGAAATCATTTCTTATAACTGTAACA